AGGGCTGGGGGAGAATGGGGTAGAGCCCCAGTTGTGTGTTTGTTTCATTGGATTTTCATAGACTTGCTCAGTTGATTGCCGCTGCAAAACAAGTTTCTTGCCCATACCAGGGGCTCCTTGCATCCCTCCATTCTCCACCCCCAACTCCTGGTGGGCCCCCTCCCATCACCCTCTATGACAGAGATTCCCTGCTACTCCCCCACCTCCTACGTCATGCCAGAGACTTTGTGTGTCCCCATTCCCCCTCCCCCCATTGGCATGTGAACGCTCCCCCTTCCCACATACCCTATGCCAAGCGCTCTGTGTGTCCCCATTTCCCCGCCCCATGGGTCTGCTTACTCCCAATGCAAGGGTTCTGTGTAGCTCCCTATTCCTTCATGCCAGGGTGTCCCATTCCCCCCCCACCATGCCAGGGGCTGTGTGCACCCCCATTTCTCACTTTCCCTCCCTCCCATGCCAGGGTTCCCCCCATTCCCTACTGCAGCCTTGGCTCTGCATGTCCCTGGGGATGAACTGGGAATCTGTCTGTTCCCTTTATGAACGGCTGTGTCTGTGTCAGGCTGCAAACTCGGGCCTCATTCTGCCTTCTCTGTGTAAGCAGGGGAATAGTCCCGCTCTTGTGGGGAACTTTCCTGGCTTCTGCACTACCCCGGTGAAGTGGGCTAGCGAAAGGATCTGAGTCCTTGCTCCCACTTCCTCTACCCAGTGGCCTCCCTGCCCTTGAGGACTCCCCTTCCACTCTCCTGTCTGGCAGAGTCCTCGTAACCCCAACAAGGCTGGGCCCAGGATTCCTGGGGGGCTCGACCCCCAACCCTGCTGTGGTCACCTAGAACAGGGGCTAGGGTGTCCCCACTCCGGAATACTCTGTCTGCACTAGGCACTTCTCTGACCCAGTGACCATTACATACAAGTTAAAGCAAATGCAAGTTATTTAATCAACAATTAATTTTAAAAAGACAAGAATAAGGAAAAATGGGAAAGGTTAAAGGAAACACATCACCCCGCTCGGTGGCAGGGAACATCACAAACAGTGTCTCTGGAATGTTAGGGCAGTTCACAGTCTGTATCTTGTAAGTCCCAGGCCTTCCTCTCAGGCCCTGGCTGTGCTGCAGGGATGCTGTGGGTTGGACACTTGCTCTGGTGGTGGCCACACGCTCTCAGGCTCTAAGTGGTAGGACCCTTCTGTCCAGTGTCGCCCCCGCCCTGTCGGGGTTATGATCCAAGCCTGGCCTGCAGAGCCCCTTGGCTGAGGCATCTCCCTGTGCTGGGCCCGCTGCCCAGGGTCCCCCTCAGTCTCCCCAGCTGCTCACCGCACCCAGCTCCAGCCCCAGCTGCACCACTCTGTCTCTGCACTGCTGCTGCTGCTCTGCCTCCAGCTCCCTGGGCTGCTTCTTTGGCCCCTCTGCCTCTGGTTGCTGCAGCTCTGCTCCCAGGACAGGTCTGCTCTGCAGGCTGCTTCTGTGACTCTGCTCCCAGCACTGACCTGCTTCCTGGGCTGCTTTTCTGGCCCCTCTGGCTTTGGGGCTGCAGCTCTGCTCCCAGGACAGGGTCTGCTCTCACTGGATCTGGCACAGCTCAGCTCGGGCCCCTGCTTTCTCCTTAGCTCGGCCCCACTCTGTCTGACCCAGGCAATTCCAGCTCACACAGAGGACGGGACCTCCCTGGCCTCCTGACTCTCTGATTAGCCTGCACACCCTGTTATTCAGGCTGACCTGGAGCATTGGCCTCTCCCCATTGTTCCTGGGGACTGTCAGTCTCAGGGTCCTGATTCCCCATCAACCCTTCCCCCTTTTTAGTACTGGGAGCTAGCAACTAAAACACCCCCACTGAATGTTAGTAAGGGGGCAACAGTCCCCTTACATCTGCAGCCTGTTTGCCCCCATCCACACTGGGCAAAAGAACACCAGAGGGGGGGTAGGCTCTTAAATACCCAGAACTGGTCCAGTAGACGATATTACTCCACCCACCTTGTCTCTCTAATATCCTGGGACCAACACCACTACAACAACATTGCATGTATCTTAAGTACCCAATTGGAAATCTATTCACCTTCGACAAAAGACTGGTCCCCATAGGCGATGCATAGGGGGGGCATGTAGGGTCAAGTGCCCCCCCCCCGCCAGATTTCTCCTTGGCTTGCCAAGGAGTAGTGAGAGGGTCTCCCTTCTCCCGATGCACCTGCCCCCCTTCCAGCACGTTCGACCCCTGTCCCTGGCCTGGGCGGGACCAGCCATTTCTTACACTGGCTGCTGCTCTGTGCAGTGCATTGGGTGCCTGAGAGAGAGCCCGGCTGGGGAGGTGGCCCACCCCACCCCCTCTGCTCCCTGCCCGGCTGCCAGAGACAGGGGCCGACTGAGCCAGAAACATGCCGAGGGAGGGAGGGCTCTGGCTTGCTTGGCCTCTGTCCCCAGCAGCCAGGTGGGGAGCAGAGGGGGCAGCTTGCTGCTTCCCCAGCCAGGGTCTCTCTCAGGCAGCTGCCGTGCTGCACAGAGCAGTGACGCAGTGCGGCCAGCTTTAGCCAGCGTGAGAAGCGGCTCCTTCCCACTCCCCGCCTGGCCCAGCTGTTAGGGAGAGCAGCCAAACGTGAGGTGGGAGGCACAGTGGGAGAAGGACAGAGGCCCCCCTCCTCAGGTAACTCTGGTGGGGTAGGGAGAGTGCAGCAGCCCCAGGTGGGGCACAGGGCAGGGGGTCACTGGGCAGAAGAGACACATGGGGTGGGCACGTGTCCTCCCCTTTAGATTGTGCCCCCGCCTGAGTATCAGGAGACACGAGTTGTCTGTGCTGGTCCCTGCCCACAAGAATTGGTCTAGCTGGGGTGTGGGGTGTCAGCTGAGCAATGAAATCAGCTGGCAGTGATCTGTGCTTGTGAATGGAAGCTGGCAATGGGATCACGTGACACAAGGGGCTGAAGGTTTTAAAAGGGCAGAGCTATGATAGCCATGTTGGTCCCAGGATATCATTTATTGAACCAACATCTGTTGGTGAGAGAGTCGAAAGCTTGTGTCTCTCTCACCAACAGAAATTAGTCCAATAAAAGATATTACCTCATCCACCCAGTCTCTTTAAAAGGGCAGAGGCTGTCTGTTCGGGGGCTTTTTCTCAAGTTCATGAGGGAGAGACCGCTCATCTGGGGGGGGGGGGGGGGAGGGGCGGCAGGGGTCCCGGGTCCTAGGGCAGGTGGGTTGAGAAGCCCCATTTCCAACAAGGAGTGACAGACTCAGAATCAGTTTCTAGGAAATATGCTAGAGGGGCCAACGGAGGAAGCAGTGTTGCTGCCCGCTGAGGTTGTAGACACTCAGCGCATTCAGGGGACCCAGAGCTTGGATCCCCTTCAAAATAGCCTTACTAGGTGGCCAGTAGAGAGTGCTCCCTGCTCCCCAGGAAGTGTGACAGCCACTCATTGCCCCCTACCCTGGCCATTATTTCCTCTTCTTTTTGTCTGGGAGATAAATCATTCGGGGTGTCAACATGTAAAGTTAGTGTGAAATAACACCCTTGCAGGCTCTGCTGCAGAGAGGGGCAGAGATGAAATAGGTGTATTATTTTGATGTAAGGTGTTAATGGCTATCATTCATCTAAATACAATGCAGAAATGCGAGAGGCAATGGCTGGGCTGAACAGATGGCAGGGTCTCCATTTTCCCCCTTCTGGCTTTCCAGTTGCCCCCAAAATCAATAACATTCTGACCACTGATGCCTAGAACATTCCCTGAAATTTTGGAATTGCTCACATACTGTATTCAAAAGTTATTTTCTGACATCCAAACAGAGAACGCCCATCAAGGGCTGTCAAAAACAGATGTCCTCCAAAAACTTGGAAGCAAAAGGGGCTAATTATTCAAACACAGCCTCTGAATTAGCACCCAAAATTCAGTACTCAATCAGAACACTTTCATGTGCAAATGACTGCATTTGTGCACAGAGATGCCATTTGCTCACTCACAAGACAGGGGAGAGAAATGCACGGAAATTAATTGCGGGTGCAAATTCAAGGGATGATCCTGGTGCGAAAGCTTGACAGAGTTTAGAATGTCGGTGACAAAGATCCATAGGGTCTGGTCTGTGTCCCAGCCTGTCACCAGTCCCTTGGGAGTGACCCTGTTAGTGGGCCAGGCCCCAAGGACCCGCACAGCTCCATGAGGGCAGGGCCATGGCCTCCAAGACTCCCAGACTGGGCCTTCAGGCACCAGCGATCCCTATCTCTCTCTGTGGCTCCCTGCAACGAATCCAGCCCAGCCAAACTCCTGGAGGAGGCCTGTGCAGTGCCCCTTTAGGATGCAATGCTCAGTGAATATTGGCAGCAACACAGGCAGCCTTTGCAGAGCAAGGTACCAATTTATTAGTCCCCTGGCTACAGAAACTGGAAGTCCTTAGGTTACCAGAGACTAGGCAGAGTTTAAGCCATAGTCCATCCTGGCTAAGCCAGCGCCAGCAGCCAGCCAAGCTGTGATGGATTCCATCTCCGGCTCCCTCCCCATTTCTTTGTCCACCCAGGTGAGAGCTGCAGCTCCAAAAAACAGCCTGTCAACCTAGTTCCTGCCTCTTGGAGAGGTGGGTTCACTACATCCCTTCCGTCGCTGTACTAAGTGTCTGTACTAGAAACACAGCACCAGCACAGCCACAGCTCTGCAATCGTGACTCTGTCTTGTTTCTAGTGCAGACAAAAGGTAGCCCATAGTCCAGCCACCTGACACCTTTTCCCTTTTCTTCTCCAGCTGACTTCACACACGTCGGTTTCAACCAGTTCTTTAATGACTCAGTCATTCGACCCAGCCAGCAAGGTCTCTCTCTCTCTCTCTCTCACACACACACACCCCTCATGTCTCCTGCGCTGCTGTACAGAGGGAAACTGAGACACGCCTAGGCTTCCTAAAAATATTACGGAACATTTCCAGTTTGTCACAGTCCGTCGGCAGGAAGAGAACCTTAGGAGGGAATCGGGGTATGGAATGGACTAAACCCCTTCTGAAACCTCCCCTATCACCCTTCTCACCCTGACAGGCTGCCGAATAATGTGTACCCTCCCGGGGGATGGGAAAGGGAAATGGCTGCAGAGAAGCTGGTGCAGGTAGGAGATTTTCTGCGAGCTTCTTGTGGGTTTGGTCTAGATGTGTGGGAGGGAGAGGGGCAGGAAATGGAGAAAGTGAAGAGACTGGGAAATGTAATCCCCGCAGTTGGCTTTCTTTAACGTGGAGCATGCCCTTGCAGGCTTCAGAGGCGTACAGCCAGCCCAAAGCACAGGAGTCACTCTGGGCTGGAAGTCAGGAGGTGGGCTTGACTGTTACAAGGTTTAAACAATAATACATTTGGGGGTGATTTTATTTATCATCTGTGTTTTGGGTCTGTTGGGGAAAAGCCACCCACACAGGGTTTGTGTGTGAGTGTATGCCTGCCTTCATAGAATGTGTGTGAGTATACGCCTGACCACGTAGAGTGTGTGTGTGTGTGTGTACACCTGCCCACAGTGTGTGTGTGTGTGTGTGTGTATGCCAGGCCACGTAATGTGTGTGTGTGTGTGTGTACACACGGGCCCATGTAGAGTGTGTGTGTGTATGTACGCCTGCCCACAGTGCGTGTGTGTGTGTATGCTGGCCCACGTAGTGTGTGTGTGTGAGTGTACTCCTGCCCTCTGAGTGTGTGTTTACACCAGCCTACATAGAGTGTGTGCCCTTCCCAGTGTATGTGTGTGTGCACGCAAGTGCGCCTGCCCTGTGTGCATGCGTGCACGTGAACATCTTATTAGAGGTGCAAAACTCCCCCTGCAACAGGGCACATGCAAGACTGCAGCCTCCCTGCTCCCAAGGGGACTCTACACACTGACCCTCCCCTACTCCTGGGATGGAGGAGCTGCCCTTGTGTCTCACCCATCCCACTCCCTGTCTCCTCTCTGCCCCAGCCGCCCACTCCCCCACAGTCTCCTCTGCCCACCTGCCCCTATATTCACTTCTTTCCCCTCTACAGTCTCCTACTTCTCTCGGCTGCCACCCCACACTCACTGCACTCCCTAGTCCCCCTACCCCCATCAGCCTCCTTCCTGCACCCATACTCCCTAGTACTACTTTTAGCCTGACACCTTCCACATGTCCCCCTACACCTGCCCTCAGGCTCGATCTGGCCCCCACAAATCCCTCCCCACCCCTCTCATCCTCCTCCTGCTGCTACACAGACCCCTATAGCCCCCTCCACCTCCATGTAGCATGGCACACAGCCCAGTCCACCTCTCCCACATCCTCTTCTGCCCACCTCGAAATCCCCACATTTCCTTCTCCATTCTTAGTGTCCTGTCCAGCCTCCTGTCCATATAACCTGAGCAGAGCCTGGCTTCCACCTCACTGGAAACAAAGAGAGTTGGCAGCCATCTTGGTAAGGGCAGCCTCACTGTGACAGCACAAAGAAGTGTTTAAATATCCCAGCTAAATATCATGAGACTCAAGAGAAAATCATGGGAGTCGGCAGCTCCAGGCATCATGGTTTCACTGCAGAAACAGCGTGTTTTTCATGAAAGCTTTCAGAAATGTCTCCCCCTCCCCAGGGTCGGCTTCTCTTGAGGGGTCTTCCCTGGTCCCTTAAATGTCAGGGGGTCAGCCCCATAATCTGTGTGAAAGATGCTGTCTCCTCCATACTTCTGCATATGGAAGAGTTTCGGGGAGACAGTGGGGATGCTAATATTTTCCCAACCCCATACCCCATCACCAGGGGAGAAGATAGGTTGCATGTACCTCTCTGTGTTATTAAACATGGGCACACATGGATACATGGAGATTTTGTGTGTCCCTCTTTTCCCAGGACTGCCTCCATGCCTGGAAAAGACTCTGGTCTTTGCTGGGTTAGGAAAGGGGAAGAGGTTGCATAGTCATAAAATCCCCCAGTGTGTGGAGATCCCTGAATCCCCTTCTGCCCTCCCCAAAAGGTTCTCCAGGAACACGTCCCCATCCTTTGGTGTATACAAGGGCATCCAACCACTCAGGACATCTGGAAACAGCTGTCTCAGAACAACAGTAAAATCCTAGTCTCACCTGTTGTCTTTCCCCCAAGCAGGATTTCCAATTCTAAAACTCAACATGATCTCCCAGATGGAACAGGGTGAAGAGCTGTGGACCCCAGATCACCAGGGCTCTGAGGAAAGGCAGATCCTGAGAAACATCCGCACAGGTAAGGAGTTGGTTAAACGAAAACAGAAACCATCCGTCCTTGACATAAACAGCTGGAATTCCCATAGAGGCCCTCTGAGTCCCCCCAGTTCTGCCTCATCTCCTTCAGGTCAGGATTGTGCCCAGTAGGTGTCATATTCTCCTGGCACACATCGCTTATGGCTTCCCACCCTATCTGACGCCTGGCAGTAGCTCCCTTCCTCCTGAGTGTTCAGATGGGATGTGGAGACTGAATTGGTCATTGCCTTCTGTGTCTCCTCTGGGAAAGGGTTTGAGGAGTTTGGATTTTGAATCTCCTAAGCAGCTATTTTGGTTTGTTCTCCATCTTCCCATTCCCCTTTCCCCCGCCACAGGGACTGACTCCTTTCTGGATTTTCTCTCTATCTCAGCAGGTGATGGGACGGTGAGTGAGAACAAGGACGAGAATCCACAGCTGGAAAGTCCTGAGCAAGTGGAACTGCGTGGGACTGTATCGGGAAGATCTGAAGAGAACATTTCCCAGAATCCTGAGCAGGAAGATGCCCGGGAGAGTCAGCACAGGCCAGAGATACAGCAAGGAAACCACCCAGGGAAGAGACAGGTTATATCCACTTACCGAGGGGGAGGTTTCAAAAATCATAATGAAACTGTGATCCAGCCAACATTATGCACTAAAGAAAAGCCGCAGAAATGTGTAAAGTGCGGGAAAGGCTTCAAGCGGAGATCAACCCTTATTGTACATCAAAGTGTCCACACAGAAGAGAGACCCTATAACTGCCCCGAGTGTGGGAAAAGCTACAAGGTGAAGGTCTCTCTGATGTCCCCCCAGAAACTCCATACAGGATAGGTTTTGGGAGCTCTTACTGTTTGGCAATGGGTCTGTGCCCTCCTGAAGCAAAGTATAAATGCCCTTCCTTTGAGGGTGGTCTGGGTAGGTACAGCTGGCAGGTGCATGGTTGTGGTTTCTATGGGGGGTGGTTGGTGGAGCCTGGAGGAGAAGGAAATGCTGGGCACTGGGGAGATGAGTCGTTTCAGGGTCCGAGGGGAGCAAGTGGTGGGATCAGTGGGGAGACGTTTCTGTGGGTTCCACACACACTTTCCAGTGTAGGGGAAAGGTAAAAATGCCCCATTGTAGTTTGTGCCTGAGTTGTCTCTGCAGCTCCTAAGGCCCCTCGAAGGGAACAGCGAGGGGCCCTGTGGGTCCCTGGTATATGAAATCTTTCCCTGGATGTTTGAAGGAAAGAAAGGAGCAGTTAGATGCAGCATGAAAGGTGGGTGATGGCGCCTTATGAAGAGGTCAGTCTATTTCTCATGATTCTGCTCCTCATGTGATAAGTGCCTCCTGTGTTTTACACAACTGTGAGAGCCAGGGAGAAATCCTGGAGGACGGGTGGGAGCAGGAGTTGGAGGGACCTTATGAATGATATGGCTGTTCGGAGACAGTGCCTCTGCCCAGTATCCCAACTGCTCAAGGAAACAGGGCTAAGGATGCATTGTGCTCCTCCTTTGAGACTAGAGGATAGCTCTGCATAATGAATGTTCTATAACCAACGAAATACGTTTGTGTTTGTTAGGAGTTGACAGTATGGGGGATGGATGGTGTGCCATTCATGGGTTGAGCTGTACTTCAATGGGTGTTTGGGGGGCTGTGGTTTTTTCAGGTGTGTCTGGGGGTACTGTAGGGTGGGTGTTTGGGAGGGTATGCTGGGGTCAGATGGGTAGGGGGCAGGTTAATAATTGCATGTGCACCTAAGTTCCCTCTAAAGTGCACGACTGCTCAGCAGGCTATCAAGGGCCGCACAGGTGCATAGCCACAGGGGCCTGGACTGGAGAGGCACCTCTCCCCTGGCCCCAGCCCCAGAGCTGCCACGGCGGGAAGAGGCGCCTCTCCCCTGGCCCTGGGCTGCTGCAGCAAGAGAGGGCTGTGGGGAGTTCTCTCTCACCACTGCAGCCCTGGGGCAGCTTGCACCCCAAACCCCTCATTCCCAGCCCCACCTCAGAGCCCGCACCCCCAGTTGGAGCCCTCACCCCCTGCACCCCAACCCTCTGCCCAGCCCTGAGCCCCCTCCCGCACCCCAAACACTTTGGTCCCACCCCCATCACACATCACCTCCATATTACAAATGCACATAACAAAATTCATGCACATGGATGTAAAAAATTAGAGGGAACATTGATGTGCACCCCTACAGCCGTTCCTTGTGCACTGTTGCTGTCAAAATAGAACACTGTCTTTGCCTTAAGTTCTCTTGTATGACACCCAAAGATCAACACTAAAGTACCCTACAAAATTATATAGCATTCTGCAGTAAGAGTTCTATTGCCAAATGCCTCAGGGTGCTTTGAAATCTCTGTGCATTGGATTGGGTTACCTAGGGAGGTGGTGGAATCTCCTTCGTTAGAGGTTTCCAAGGTCAGGCTTGGCAAAGCCCTGGCTGGGATGATTTAGCTGGAGATTGGTCCTGCTTTGAGCAGGGGGTTGGACTAGATGACCTCCTAGGGTCCCTTCCAACCCTATTATTCTATGATTCTATGAAATGTCTCTGAAACCTGATTTGGCCGTTTATCTCATGAAATCTCAACTTCAGTGAAAGCTGAGAGCATTAATGAAGCTGTGAGCCAATGTACCTTTTCTATTGATTGTTTTCTCTTCCAGCATCTGCAGTTACAGTAAAAATGCTGGCCCTACGATGCGTTGGATTTTTTTAACCTCTCTGATGCTGACATTTTGAGTGGTGGTGGGTGATGCAGTGGGTGGGTGGGTGGGTGAAGGAAGAACCAACAGGGAGCAGTTCGGGAAGAAGGTTATCGAGGTGGCAAGAGGATAAACCAGTGAATCTACTGTGACTTTATATCCGGTGCTAGCAGAGGTCTGGATTCATCCATGAATGGACCTCACCTGATCTGGTATTAGGCTCTAGTCAGCTGCTTAGGGTAGATGCCTCTGACCGGGGACCATTTTGCCCTGCCTCCGTCATACTGCTGGTGGCCTGGTGAGTGAATAATACATGTTTTTATAGCATATCCTTCAGCACTTAGACTGGCCACTTTGTTTCAGACCCCAAGTCCTCAGTCCTGTTTCTATGACCTCTTTCCAAACTCGTGCAAGCCTGTCCAACATTCACTCCCGCCTTTCAGCTGACACCTGTGATGCTGGGATCTGACTGGCCAGTCTTTGCCCATCCACCCCCTTCTGGAGGCAGGTCAGCCTCCGAGCATTTGTCCTCAGGTCATTTCAACAGCTCTCCTTTGTGTTGGGTTGGCACTGGGACTAGCTCTGGCAGTGCCCTCTCATCTTCATTTGCTCTAACAGTGTCTTGAAGATGTCTGCATGCTGGTGACTCTTCTCCTGGTGACCATTAGGGTATGGCTGGGGAGAACGAGATGGGCCGCTCCCCATCCCGAAGTGTTTAGCCTGCAGCTGTCTGGGAGTGCTGGCAAACAGCCAGAAGGTAGACCCTAGAATGGGCAGGGGGTGGTAGAGACTCAGCCAGTCAAACCCCAACGAAGGGCACCTCAAAATGGAAATGCCAGTTGCTGCCATGTGTACAGGGCTCCTAGACGTGGGAGCAGAAGTGACCCTCTTTCTAGAGGAATTGCTGGGAACAGAGGTAATGCCCTTGACCGAGGGAACGGATGAGCAAATTACTCAGGAACTAGAGTCAGAACCCCACCCCTTGAGGGATGCACAGTTAACTTCCCCAGTAACACTCAACCCTCCACGTAGGATTTTGCTGAAAGGAGCAGGGCTTTGGAGACATGTCTGTAACATACTCTGCCTGCACACCCTGTTTTGAGACAGAGCGCCTATGGATAGACAGTGAACTACCGGTGTGCTTTAACACGGCCAAACCATGAGTCTGATGATAAGCCAATATCCATGTTAACCCATTGATGTATTGAGTCGATCTCAGTTTGATCACTGGATTGGTTCATTCTTAATTAGTTTAGCAAAGTTAGAGTAGGCTCAGTGATATGGTTTTCAGTCTGAAGATCTGCTTGATTATCCTTTGTCATGAAATCCGTAAAAAGCACATAGAGGGGGATGGTGCCAGCCTCTTCTCGGTGGGGGGACTGAGGTGGGCTAGACAGAAAATTGGGGGGGTGTGCCCCCCCTCACCACAAGGCCCTGCCCCTTTCTGTGGCCCTGCCCACTGCTCATCCTCAGGTAAGTGCAGGCCCTACCTCCTCCTTTCCCCTTCCCCGAGGTCCCGCCCACTGGTCAGGTTGGAAGCTGGAGCCGGCAGTGAGGTGCAGCTGCCCTGGTGCAGGTGGCCATGACACTCCCTGTCAAGGCTGAATCCCCACTCCGGCACTTCGAGTGCAGAAGTGGAGCCCGCAAGGATTTAAAAAAAATTAAAACTGGCCACTCCATGCTTGTATTACACTCCCAAGGTTACAGCTTTTCTTTGACCTTGGCTTGGTAAATGCTGCCACCATCCAAATGCAAAAAATCCCAACCCTTTGAATCCAGAAAGGAGCACTTGGGAATTCCTTCCTGTGGGGTACCCTCAAGCCCTTTCACACACCCCTCCGGGGAAGAGCTGAGAAAGAAAACAAAGGAAATTAGCTGTGGCTACCAGCTAATCAAACAACATATGCACAAATCTTTTAGGATACCAAAAATCCAATCCTGTTCTTTAAAATGGTACATTTTATTAAAAACAAAAAGAAAGAAAATACACCTGTAACTTGGGCTATTGCTAGGTTTTAAAAGAGCAATTCCAAAAATTAAGCACCCAAAATAGCTTTCTTGGGGGTTCAGCTTAAAGGTTACCAGCAAACAAAAGCATCTGGGGTTAGCACAGAGGAGTCCACAAGCCAATAAGAAATAAAAGAAATAACCCTAATCGCGTCTTTTTAGACATTCCCTAATTTTACTTACATATCTGAGACTTCAGATAAGTAGGTTTGAGGTATGAATTGATCACAGAATCATAGAATCATAGAATATCAGGGTTGGAAGGGACCTCAGGAGGTCATCTAGTCCAACCCCCTGCTCAAAGCAGGACCAATCCCCAATTAAATCATCCCAGCCAGGGCTTTGTCAAGCCTGACCTTAAAAACTTCTAAGGAAGGAGATTCTACCACCTTCCTAGGTAACGCATTCCAGTGTTTCAACCACCCTCCTAGTGAAAAAGTTTTTCCTAATATCCAACGTAAACCTCCCCCACTGCATCTTGAGACCATTACTCCTTGTCCTGTCCTCTTCTACCACTGAGAATAGTCTAGAACCATCCTCTCTGGAACCACCTCTCAGGTAGTTGAAAGCAGCTATCAAATCCCCCCTCATTCTTCTCTTCTGCAGACTAAACAATCCCAGTTCCCTCAGCCTCTCCTCATAAGTCATGTGTTCCAGACCCCTAATCATTTTTGTTGCCCTTCGCTGGACTCTCTCCAATTTATCCACATCCTTCTTGTAGTGTGGGGCCCAAAACTGGACACAGTACTCCAGATGAGGCCTCACCAATGTCGAATAGAGGGGGACGATCACGTCCCTCAATCTGCTTGCTATGCCCCTACTTATACATTCCAAAATGCCATTGGCCTTCTTGGCAACAAGGGCACACTGCTGACTCATATCCAGCTTCTTGTCCACTGTCACCCCTAGGTCCTTTTCCGCAGAACTGCTGCCTAGCCATTCGGTCCCTAGTCTGTAGCTGTGCATTGGGTTCTTCCGTCCTAAGTGCAGGACCCTGCACTTATCCTTATTGAACCTCATCAGATTTCTTTTGGCCCAATCCTCCAATTTGTCTAGGTCCCTCTGTATCCTATCCCTGCCCTCCAGCGTATCTACCACTC